TAAATGCTGATGAAGATAGGGAAGCTGTGATTTCGTGTATAGGGCAAGGAGGAATAACATCTTATAGGAGTGAGGAAGAACCAATTGTGAGTGTGGGGGAAATGTGTGGGGCAGTAGGTAGAATGAAAGGGGATAAGGCAGCTGGGATTGATGGGATAAAGATAGAAATGTTAAAAGCAGGTGGGGATATGTTTTGGGAGTGGTTAGTGTTTTTATTTAATAAGTATATGGAAGAGGGTAAGGTACGTAGGGATTGGTAGAGAGCATGCATAGTTCCTTTGTATAAAGGCAAAGGGAACAAAAGATAGTGTAAAAATTATAGGGGAATAAGTCTGTTGAATATACCTGGTAAATTGTATGGTAGAGTTATTATTGAAAGAATTAAGAGTAAGACGGAGAACAGGATAGCAGATAAACAAAGGAGGATTTAAAAAGGGTAAGGGATGTGTAAACCAAGTGTTTACAGCGAAACATGTAGGTGAACAGTATTTAGATAAGGGTAAAGAGGCTTTTGTGGCATTTATGGATTTGGAAAAGGCATATGATAGGGTGGATAGGGAAGGAGGCAATGTGGCAGATGTTGCAGGTGTATGGAATAGGAGGTAGGTTATTGAAATCAGTGAAGAGTCTTTACGAGGATAGTGAGGCTCAGGTTAGAGTATGTAGGAGAGAGGGAGAATATTTCCCAGAAAACGTAGGCTTTAGATAGGGCTGTGCGATGTAACCGTGGTTGTTCGATATATTTATAGCTGGAATTGTAAGGGAAGTGTATGCTCGGGTGTTGGCAAGAGGTGTGAGGTTAAAAGATAAAGACTTTAACACAAAGTGGGAGTTGTCATAGTTGCTCTCTGCTGATGACACTGTGCTTTTGTGAGACTGAAGAGACGTTGCAGAGGTTGATTGATGAGTTTGGTAGCGTATGTAAAAGAAGGAAATTAAAAGTGAATATAGGAAAGAGTAAGGTGATGAGGATAACAACAAAAATTAGGTAATGGAAGATCGGATATCAGATTCGAGGGAGATAGTATGGAGGAGGTGAATGTATTCAGATATTTGGGAGTGGACGTGTCAGCGGATGGGTCTATGAAAGATGAGGTAAATCACAGAATTGACGAGGAGAAAAAGGTGAGTGGTGCACCGAGGAGTTTGTGGAGACGAACTTTATCCTTGAAAGCAAGGAGGGGAATGTATAAGAGTATAGTTATACCAACGCTCTTGTATGGGTGTGAGGCATGGGTTGTGAATATTGCAACAAGGAGAAGGCTGGAGGTAGTGGAGATGTCATGTCTTAGGGCAATGTGTTATGTGAATATAATGCAGAGAATCCATAGTTTGGAGATTAGGAGGTGTGGGATTACCAAAACTATTATCCAGAGGGCTGAGGAGGGGTTATTGAGATGGTTTGGACATGTAGAGAAAATGGAACGAAATAGTATGACTTCGAGAGTGTATAAATCTATAGTGGAGGGAAGGCGGGGTAGGGGTCGGCCTAGGAAAGGTTGGAGGGAGGGAATAAAGGAGATTTTGTGTGCGAGGGGCTTGGACTTCCAGTAAGAGTGCGTGAGCGTGTTAGGAGCAAATGGAGACAAGTGCTTTTAAGGACTTGACGTGCTGTTCAAGTGTAAGCAAGGTAACATTTATGAAGGGATTCAGGGAAACCAGCAGGCCGGACTTGATTCCTGGAGATGGGAAGTACAGTGCCGGCACTCTGAAGAAGGGGTGTTAATTAATGTTGCAGTTTCATAACTGTAGTGTAAGCATGTCTCTGGCAAGGCAGTGATGGAGTGAATGATGATGAAAGTTTTCCTTTTTCGGGCCACCTTGCCTTGGTGGGGAACCGCTGTGTTAAAATAAATAATAATAATAATAATAATAATAATAATAATAATAATAATAATAATAAGATATAAATTCTAGGGTGGTGGGTAGTCGTCAGGCCAGGCTGATGAGAGTGCATACGGTAAGCCAGGGAAGCAGCAGATGGGGGAAGATTTGTTTGTATGTGGCATGCCTTCTATACTTCGCGGCCCCTCAAGGAAGGTTCCTTGATCTAGGGAATTGAATATGTGCTCCAGTTCCCTGAATTAAGGCTGCATACCTTCCACATCCTCCCACAGGCGCTGTATAACCCTTCGGGTTTAGCGCTTCCCCTTGATAATAATAATAATAATAATAATAATATACTTCGCGGCAACAGCACAAGTAGCAACAACAGCTGGAGTAGCAACATGAGTAGCAACAGCAGCAGTAACAATATGAACAGCATTAGCAGGAGTATGAACAGCAACAAAAACAACGGCTTTTGGCATTTTCTGAACACGACAGCACTTAACAACAACAGGTTATGACACGTACTGAACACAGTTGCACTAAGCAACAATTGCTTTTTGACACGTACTGAACGTGCCTGCACCTAACAGCTTTTGACACATACTGAACATGACTTTACTCATTTCGTCATACCATACAAATCAATTGTTAAATTCACCCAGCATCCTTCCCTCTTACCTACAGCTATTCTTACGAATATCCTTTCCCCTCCCTATTCCTATATTTATCTCTTCGTTCCATCCATCACTCTATCCTTACCTCTTATTATCCCTACATCCCTGTACTATACTTTCAGCTAAAAAAAAAAAGCTTAGAATATTCTTTGAAAGAATATGGCAGTGTACTGATAAAGGCAAAGTTCTAGAGACAAACCCTACGCTAAGATTTGTGTAAGGAAAGTTATGTACCAGAGTCGACTGTACAAAACCGTGATTGTGAGACCTAGAAGATGGGTATAAAGACTGTGCGTCCTCAGGTTAGTGATGGTCTAGGTCGATCCCCAGGAATTTTTTTTATACAGTATTGCCTATGATGTCAGCTAGGTCTGTATCAACTGTACATATCATGTACTTAAATAACAAAAAAAAAGCACAATACCGTGACTGGAACGATACACAAATAACCCGCACATAGAAGAGAGGAGCTTACGTCGTAAGCTCCTTACGACGTAAGCTCCTCTCTTCTATGTGCGGGTTATTTGTATATCATGTACTTGTTCCAATAAAGATTATGTATTATTATTAATATATCTATGTTGTAACCATGACGGAGAGAGGTAGTCTAGTCAACCTTCAGCATATAAAAACTGCTTCTTCTTGCATGACGTTTGTGCTAATTACCAGAACAATATGTATGGAGGCGTTGCTTGTAGAGCCATCGCTTATTGCTAACTACCTGACTGCTTGCAAAATCATCCCGTCATCCCTTCGTGGCAAATCCCAACCTTCTTAATAGACACCGGACGATCGAGCCTCTATATGAAACAAAGTATAAATGTAAAATATAAATTTTGAAACAATTAAGATACTCGCACTGTGTCCAATGTCGTGGACACTGTGAGGTTATGATCAAGAGATAACAGCTACCACAAAGTTGCCAATCTGCATTGGTTATGATATAAATAACATCTAGACATACAGTAAGCAGAAAAAGGATAATTAGACTGTGCTTTGCCCTGGAGTGGTACCACTATGTAAAAATTTGTGTTTATCTCTAGATTTTCAGTGACATTTGCAGATTATGCCTCAGTATGTTCATATATCAGTACAATATATTTGTATATGTTAGTATATGTTAAAAAGAATATAATGTGGTATCGCCAAACAATAAATCAGTTTCTCAAACTGAATGCGTGTGAGAGTAACAGAGCTGGCTGAGATTACTGAAATGATAATGAGTTTCATGGGATGGTTAACTCCTAAGAGAGAGAGATAGATAGAGAGAGAGGAGGCGGTGGTTGCTGGTGGTGGAGGAGGTGAAGGAGGGTGTGAAACAGAAGGAAGTGAACGAGGAGGAGGTGGCAGCAGAGGACCAGAAGGTGGAGAAGTCAATGGTTGTGGAGGAAATAAGTGAAGCAAGTGATGGTACTGGACGAGCAGCAGCAGCAGGTTGTGGAGGTGAGGTTGAGGTTATGAATTATTATTAATACGTGAGCAAATTACCTGCAGGAGGCTTACAGGGTATTACCTGAATTATTACTTAAAAGTAATCTGGGAGAGGTAGGTGGGACTTAGTCACAGCAGGTCGCTGAACTGTCACTCCATCGAACCCCACTCACTACCACTCTCACAAAAAGCTAAACTTGACATTAAATTAACAATTACAACATTAAAACCAGCTACTCTGGTAAACTAAAGTTGTGGACTGTATGTGACTTCAAAAGAAATCGATGGGGAGGATCTGTTGAGTATACAACATTTACAGAAAAATATATGTATATTATATCATGAGCATTCACCATTTAATTACTGGATCATAATCATTATTTTTTGGAAACGCACCCTAACACTACCACTACAGCTAGAATTTACGATGGCCAATGCAAAAACTGCTGTACATTATGGGTAAGCGTCACTTAGCTAAGGTGTGCTGCTGAGAAAATCTGAGTCCTCTATTTTTCCATCCTTGTTACCGAACTGTAAGGGTTTTTCCACACTATCCCAATTCTTCAGTAGGAACGTGTCAGCAGTTTCTAATTACGGATTGAGGCCGATATACACCAATTGACCTTCGAGAACGCCTGCCTGATTACATTGCACAATTCAGACCAGTGTTTACACATTAAATTCATTATGGCGTCTCGTCCGCGTCACTCTCCGGCTCTTCCACAGCCCCCTTCACTTAAAATTTCTCGAAGGGTCCAAATAGCATCACATTTTAATACACAATTATTATATTATTCATTTATATGTTCTAACTTCAGGAAAATTATGTAAAACAATTTCCACAGAGGTGTTCGGGGAGGAGGTAGAGGAAGAGGAAGAAGAGGAGGAGGAGGAAAGGTAGTGGTGGTTGAGGAAGAGGAAGAAGTGGTGGACAAATGAGGTAGAATACCATGTGAGAAAAATCACAGTACTGCCGGACCACAATGCGAGAGAAACTCAGTAGCAGAAGGAGAATAAGCAGACGGAAATTATTTGTTTGGAATTGGTTCGAAACAGTTCACTCACCGGCAGACAAGTTATGGAGGGCGCTGAATATACCGCAGGAGGAGGTGACGAAGAAGATCATCCACTGCCACCTTCCGTAGTCGCCCACCTGATGTAGGAGAACTTGGAAAGCCTCACTGCTGGTGTAGGTTGTGGCTGTTTCTTCCATCGCCTCTTCCTCAGACAGCGTAATCGTCTTCTCTGTCTCCTCCCTCAGGCTGTTTGTAGTCTCCTGGGCCGCATCACTGGCTCCCACAGACGAGTTTTTCTCCATGTTGAAGCTTCTGGCTGGTGACTGAAGCCTACAGAGTTATGGATAATTATGTACTTATGACAATTTTATCTTGTTTTATTATTGCAATTTTCCTATTTTTTTATCCGAATGGTATTCGCAGTTTCCTTTGTCGTCACAATTGTTTTCTTTGACCACTGTGTTAATTTAGAAGCTTGACGAGGTTTAGTGAACGATCCTCCCAATCACAGCTAGGATATGGTCACTTATTTGTATAGTAAAATAGTCAATAATCAGCATGTTTACAACGTTAGAGAACGAAAATATTTGTCTGCCACACAATGACCTTTTAGTAGATGAGGAAAAAATCCCTGAACAATACAGAGGGTATCTTGATTGTTTTTAGAGTGAGGAGGTGGTGGGTGACTCAGAAGTGTGAGCTGAGTTCGCAAGGTGGTAAAAACCAAGATGGCCGCAGAATTTAAATTTATGGCTTAAGAAATTTGAATTTAATGAATTAAATCGATTTTCGTCAGAACAGAGGGGTACACCAACATGGGATGAAATACACACAACCGAGGAGGAGGAGGTGAAGAAGCTGCTAAGTGACCTTGATACCTCCGTCAGTAGCAAGTTAGATATTGACCTGAGAGATCAGTATCTAACTTGTTATTGCACTGCAGCTACATACTTCTAATGATAATTTTGTGCTTACTCAGTATCACGATTTAAGTGATTACAAAGTTTTCTTGATATAACATTACGTATCAGATCATGTTATGCAGTGAGTCCACGTCAGCGACCTCTCGACACAGTTGCTCTCTTTTGCTCTTCACATTGCAAAACAGACATAAATGCTCTGGAAAAATACCGAGAAATGTGACGAAAGTTAGTTATCGCAAACCTTTCCATGCGAATATATACATATTAATGGTATCTTTTACTACAAAAAAAAGCGTCTTCAACTCCCTCAGAGCAGCAGTAAAACAAGTTTAAAACTATAAGGGGAAAGTGCACTCTCCGTTTCTTCTGATTTATTACATTATCAGCTTTTGACTGAGTGTAGTTCCTTCTTCATGACCTCTTGCAGAGGCTGAGTTGCGGCTCTGCCTCGTGAGGATTTTAAGGTGCAGGTAGCGACGAGGTCTCTGCGTGTAGTGACAGAGTGATGTCACTTCAAGCAAAGTGACCTCGTGTACCTCTTATCTCACTTCATTAACTGCTGTTAGATCGCTGTCAACGTTCAATTTTCCAATGTAGTTTGGTTGTATCTATATTTAATCATTTAAATATTTTATGTTATCTTTCAACTTTCCAATGTTGTTTTTAAATATTTCTGCTTCTGTACGGTTGTCAGGGTAAAGAATATTAGAAAAAGGACACGAACGAAAAACACTAGGACACTTTATCGGCACTTTATTCGGTCCTGGGAACTTGGCCACTCAGGTCACAGGACTGAAATGTTTCCGATAAAAGGTTCTAGTTTGCATTTCTCTCTTACCAGTAACCTGTAGGTGTTATAATATGTTTATTAGAGTGAAGAATTGACCCTAGAAGCCTGATCCCTTGTGTGAGTGAAGAATTGACCCTAGAAGCCTGATCATCCCCTTGTGTGAGTGAAGAACTGACCCTGGAAGCCTGATCATCCCCTTGTGTGAGTGAAGAATGCACCTTGTATGAGGCTTGGTCATACATACGTACATCTTGAACCGCACACAGATTAAATTATCTATAACCTGATAACTCATGCTGTGTGCACTAGGCCCTAAGACATCCAAACATGTCAAGTAGATAACTATGATAAATATTTACATGAAGATCAGATCAAGATAAACAGTCCCTCAGACAGGGTGAGGGACTGATTATCTTAATCTCTTGATCTTCACTGTTCTTTGTATTGGACTAGCAGCGACCTCCAAGCTCCGTACTTTTCTCCAACTATCAGAGCCACCAATGCTCCTATGATGACCTAGTTACAAGCAAAACTGCACTACCCAACGTAGCACCCAGAATGACCATAGTTTACCAACAGTGAAACCTACAAATCGAAAATAATAGAGATCAAAGGAAGACTGCCCTCAAACCCAAAGCAACACCCCGCTGCTAGCCAACAACGTAACCCTAAGCTTTGTATAACTACAACTTCTTCTTAACTACAACAATTCCTGTAGTATTATGAGGCGCAATCTCAGAGGAAACAGCACCAAGGCCAGCAAGAAAACAACGAAAAATCAAGTATTCAACAAGCGTAGCCAGGAGGTCGCCGGCCCAGCAACCACCCCCTCTCACCACCGCTCAAGGCGACACCACAACAATAACAACAAACATGGCTGCCCTCAGCCCATCCACCCCTCTCTTCCCCGGATTCAACCTACCAAGTAGTCTCTCAGGTATGACCAACGATCCAGATACCCTAAAGTCAGGCATCTCCACCTTAGTTATTGAAAATATGAATCTTCGAGAGACGCTAACAAAACAAGACACCAGGATGACACAACTCGAGAACAAAATCCTCAGTCTTGAACAAAAGTTATCAACACCAGGAATGACTAACTATGGCAAGACCATCCAGACAGTCATAGATAGCCATACAGAACAAATAATATCTCTTAATACAAAGGTTGAGGAAGCAGTAAAAGAATGGAAGAACAACTTAGATAACCAGTTAAGTGACTACTTTGCTCTCCAAGAAGACAAAAACTGAGCAAGATAAAATATCGGACGCAGTAACAGTTAACAGTCCACTTTTTCCCAGTGCTATGAACCAAACGAACAGTAAAGAAATTACTCTCCAGATCATAAAGGACCAAACAAATGTTATTGTACCCAGGTTACTAGGATCCCATGGTAGAAAAAGTGTTATGCTTAGATTCCACTCACATGACAGGAAAAAAGACTTAATAATTGCATCTATTAAAGTAAAGAAAGAGGTATACATGAACGAGTGTCTTACCAAAAAACGTCAGAACCTCCTGTCGAGTCAGAAAACGTAAGCGGGAGAATAATGACACAATACACCAATGCTTCACACGGGATGGGAAAATTCTTGTTAGGAAAACAAATGTAGGTCAACTGTACACAATCACGAACAAGAATGATCTATCACGATTTCTCAGGGATACTAATCTTACAGAGAATAACTAAACAATGCCCAACCTAAAAGCTTACGTAGTGTAGTGTATGTTTTGCTCCATTATTGTTCAAATTTCATAGTACAATCTCTTAGTAATTAAATAATCAACTACCTCATTATGTGATTTTACTAGTAAGCATAAGTCACCTTATGTAATTTTCTTATTTACTATTGTCTGCTTAAATATTAGCTGAATTGATACTTTCTCTGTCCATATTACTACCTCATATTCTTTTAAATACTATTAATTGATATTACTTACTAAAATTAATAATTAATTACCATTTTTACTATCAGTACAATTTACTCTTAACATTTTTGACATCATTTAATTACCATTACTTGTCTAATTACCATAACCTGTTTTAATACCACATTTACTATCTTAGAGTACTCTTAAATACCTTGTACTGTCAAATAACCTCTAGTATAACTACCAGTGCAATATTGAATCCAAATAACTGTTCTTAAAATTTAATACTTTAAATAAACATTACTTTTTCACTTTTTTTTTTATGCTAATTAATCTTTTTTTGTAATCATTATTACTTACTAAAATTTTATTAAACCCCATATTTACTACCAGTCAATTTTACTTTTGTAAATTAATCATTATTTTATACTTTTCATAACATTTTGTTGCCAAATTTTCAAGTTTGTATATTCAACTCCAACCTTTATATTATCCTTTGTACCTGTGTACCTGTCTACCTGTCTACCATCTTACTATCATATTATAACCAAGTCATTGCCATTGTTATTTCAGACCCTAGTGCAATTGCAAGTACCATTTTAATTTGTATTTTTATATTATAAGTTTATACCTAGTTGTACTTTAGCTCATTCTAGCTCAATACATAGACAACACTAAATTCAGTATATTAGACCTTAGTGCAGTTACAAGAGTGAGTCTGGTGCCACTTGTAATTTGTATGTTTTTTATAATATTAGTTTATACCTAGTTGTACTTTAGCTCATTCTAGCACAACACATTGACAATAAGTAAGTAAGTAAGTAAGTTTATTCAGGTATACACAAATACAGTTACATAGAATTATCATACATAGCAGCATATGTGTAGAGAACCTGGGATAACCCAAAAAAGTCAAACAGAGTGACTTATTTCCATTGGGGTCCTTTTTTACCTTATTATTATAATATAAAGGTTATAATATTTTCTTATTATTCTACAATGAAGATAACATCTTATTATCATACTAAAAAGACTATCTACTACACGAGGGTCATTAAGACTATCTACAATACGAGGGTCATTACTAGGAATAAGGTAAAATTTACACGTATATTAGCTAAAAAATAGAAAATCATTCCCCTCCCTTTCTGTAGCTACATTCATCAGACACCTTTTGGCACTTTTTGAACTGGTTCATGCTATGACTGGCTTTGACATGTGCGGGTAGTCTGTTCCATTCCTTTATTGCTGTACAATAAAAGGTGTTTGACGCCTGGCCAATGACTGTGGGTACTACAAAGTTGTGCTCTCTCCCCCTAGTACTATGATTGCTTTGGTTCCCAACCTTGACAAAATTGACAGCAAGATATTCTGGACACTGTTTGTGAGCAATTTTATAAACATGATTTAGCTTCAGTTGTTTTACTCTGTCTTCAACATTCAGCATATCCAACTGCTGTAATTCATCCTGGCCTACATGTTCTCTTGGTCCCAGCCCCAGGATGAATCTTACGATTTTGTTCTGGGTGATTTGCAGTCTATCTTTCAGTTTTTTTGTCAAGGCAGAGTACCATGAAGAGCAAGCGTAATCCATATGGCATTGTATAAGGGCTAGACATAGGGTCCTGCGAGCCTCAGTAGGTAGACACTGTGTTTGTCTATACAGGAACTTCAGTCTGTGTTCCCTATCAGTTCCCTATCAATTTCATTATGTTTATTAGTGACTATACTCTATATGACCAAAGTGCTTTAGCGGTATACTTATCCAAACCTCCCACCACTACAGAAATCAGTATTAGAACTCACCACATAAACGGTTAAAAAAACCACATTAAACCTAAAAAGAATGATCATTTGACCCTGTTGAACCCCCATAATTAACACAAAATCAAAATTTTATTGGAATTTAACGGGTCTTTTTTTACACGGCTCACAACCAACCTATCCTGAACACTGCTAAAGGGCATCAGTTCTTAACTACAACACGGTCCTTAAGAAGCAAACACATGATGACCTCCTGGAACTCCTTGAGTCAAAAAGACACCCTTCTCCTGCATTTTTTTACTAAACCCTGCTTAAACAGGACATAATTGAATCTACCCACTACCGGGAACACAGCAATCCACAACTGCAGTCTACAAGTTGGGGGGGGTACAGCAATCTTTTTCCCTTAACCAACTATCTTGTATAGCCTAATTGCTTTAGTGAGAATTTGGGGGAATCATTTTAAAAATTTTACTGAAAAAA